TTTAAAAGAAGGGATGGCAGGCTGGTCCAATGGTAGCAGGTTATCAGAACTCATTAACATTAGTGTCACTAAAGTTAGCATACTGCCTGCCACTACTAAATTTGAGTGGCTTAAATAAATAAATGACACTGAACCATAAAGCTATAGAAGAATTATAAGCATTTTCAGGAGGCACATTTCTTAATGTTTTCTACCCCAAAACAGAAAAGCAGAATTAACCGGTTTTTGTGTAGGTAGTATCTGTTAACTTTCTACCTTATTACATGCCAATCATTTGAGTCTCTTTATATTTACAAAGGCTGCATAGGTTGTTTCCTCTTGCACATACGAATGCTGCTTGTCCCTACTACTGACGATCTGAAAATCAAGTCATTCTAGACTTTCAGAAGTTTCACATGTTTTTCCCTTTGCTTACAACACATAAATGTATTGATGAACTTTTAAATCTATAGACTTTTAAAACATGTCCACAGATTCTCTGGTACTCCTCCCATCAAGAGGCAGGATCTATGTCCTTTCCCTTGTATCTGGCCTGCCTTGAAGGCTTGTTTATGACCAATGGACAACAGCAGAAGCACTGCTTCTGAGGCTAGGTCAGAAAGTGCCATGCTGTCCTGCCTGGTTCTCTTGGGACACTCACTCTGGGGGAAGCCAACTGCTAAGTAAGGAGACCAACCATCCTTAGAATGACTCTTAGCTTGTGAAGCTAAAGAGGTCACATGGAGGGGTTCCTGGAGAAGCCTCAGCTGAGCTCCCAACTACAAGTCAGCATCAACTGCCAGGCACATGAGTGAGGCATCTGTGACTGCCCAGTTGAGCCTTCAGATGGCCCCAGCCACAGATGACATCTAACTGCAACCACATGAGAAATCCCAAGCAAGAACTGCCCAGCATAGCCCTCCCCAAATTCCTGATCCACAAAATCTTGAGCAAAATAAAGTGGTGGTTAATACCACAGTTTTGGGATTAGGAATTATATGGCAACAGTAACTCGAACAAGGACCAAATCAATGTTTTCTAATGAGCTCTATCACTTTTTGTACTTTTGAAAAGCAATTTCAGACTCAAGTTGTATTAGTCAGAATAGACAAGGTTACACTGTGGCAAAATAATTAAGCCTGAAATCTCAGCAACTCCATTCAACAAAATTGTATTTCCTGTTCAAGGACAGACAAGGAATTTTGCTACATCTGTTGAGTCAGGGAACAAAGCCCCCTCCACCTTGTGACATCATCATCTCACAGATTGCCACAGCAGAGGCAGAAAGAACAATTCTTTCAAATGCTTCCATCTCACAGCACACCTCCATTCAGAAAGTGTCAGGCTATCCTAGACGCACCACTTTGTAAAACTCACCAAGCGCGGCATCAACTGACAGCCTCCAGTACCTTTCTCCTTTTCCTCCTTTTAATTACAGCAACCCCCAAGTTTCAGCAGGGCACATAACTGCCTAGCTAGAGACTACATTCCCCTGCCTTCCTTGCAGAGAAGTCAGTCATGTGACTAAGCTTGGGCCAATGGGATAAGGACAGAAGTGATCCTAGAGCATCTCCTTAAAGGCACTTGTCCGGTATTCCTTCTCCACCGGTATTCCTTCCCTCTGGCTGGCAAATAGTGACGCCTGGAGCAACCTTGTAAGTCATGTGTTACGGACAGCAAAGCTGCCCATCAGTCTGGAATAGCTCATTTTAGACTGAAAACAGAAAAATAAACTCTATCTTGTTAAGCCACATAATTTTTTTGCGGAGGGCAGAGAGCGATGATGGGAGTGTTATACTAAAATAGCACCTAACCAACCACTTTTTGCACCTTCTTCTCTCACCTACCTTCATTTTACACTCAATACATTTGCATATTCCCCTTCTAATCTCTGCTTTTGAATCTGCCATTACATTACTGAACTTCCACTATTCCTTAATTAACTGAACATCTAACTCACATAGCTCCTTTGAAGGCATGGCTCGCTTGATGGAATACTGATAGTGCAGTGTGGGAGAGAGGGGAGTGGATTCAGAAGTCCTGCCTCTCATCCTGGGGGGTGGGGTCAGGCTTAGACAAACCCTCAGGTCCACTGACAAAGACCTGCAGTCAAAAGTAACCTCCTAAAAATAAAATAAAGGCTAATATTAGGCATTCTTTAGTTCCCTGCTTAAGGTCTTATAGCTTCCCCACCACAAATTTAATACTCGGTTAATATAATGAAGGCAACTGGCATCATGGGTAAGAGTGTAGACCCTGGAATCAGAACCAATCTGGGTTTCAACCCCAGCCTTGCTAGCTACTACTAATATGACCGTGAGCAAACTAGCTACTGTCTCAGTTTCCTTTCCTGTCAAATGGGGATAGTAGGGCCCCACAGGGTGGCTATGAGAATTAAAGAAAATAATGTGTGTTGAGTTATTCTGTAGACATATTACTAGAGGACTCACTAAATGTTACTTTTTTTTTGAGACAGGGTCTTGCGCTGTCACCCAGGCTGGAGTGCAGTGGCATGATCACGGCTCACTGCAACCTCCACCTCAGCACTTCCTGGGCTCAAGTGATCCTCCCACCTCAGCCTTCCAAGTAGCTGGGACTACAGGTGCATATCACCATGCCTAGCTAATGTTTTGTATTTTTAGTAGAGACAGGGTTTTGCCATCTTGCTCAGGCTGGTCTCAAACTCCTGGGCTCAAGCAATCTGCCCACCTTGGCCTCCCAAACTGCAAAGATTACAGATGTGTCTTAGTCCATTTTTACGCTGCTCATAAAGAATACCCAAGACTGGGCAATTTACAAAAAAAAGAGGTTTAATGACTTACAGTTCCACATGGCTGGAGAAGGCAAGGAGGTGGAAGTCACATCTTACGTGGATGGTGGCAGGCAAAGAGAAAGACTGGGCAAGGAAACTCCTTCTTATAATACTATCAGATCTTGTAAGACTTATTCACTATGACAAGAACAGCATGAGAAAGACCTGCCCCCATGATTCATTACCTCCCACTGGGTCCCTCCCACAACACATGGGAATTCAAGATGAGATATGGGTGGAGACACAGCCAAGCCTTATCAAGGTGTGAGCCATCACACCCAGCCACTAAGTGTTAGTTGTTATAACTCTATGCCTTTCCACATGCAATTCCCTCTGCCTGGAATAACTTTCTCCTTTTGTTCACCTGGGGAATTCCATCACATTCATTGTAACTCATGTTTTGTGAGGTCTTCCCAGCAACTCAATCTGCCGGGAGCAATCAATCTGCTTCATCTGTGCTACTGCAAAATCACACACAACAATTCTACTTATCACAGTATACAGCACTTGCGTGTTTAAATTTCTGCCCCTCCTCACTCTGGACACAACTTATGTCTTATTCACTGCTAAATCCCAAGTACTTGGCAGATATACATTGTAGGGTCTCACACATGTTTGCAATAATGAACTAAATACATCCTTTAATTAACTTTAGAATCAAACTACCTTTCCTCTGTATTAGAAATTTGGCCTAACAGGCCAGGCGAGGTAGCTCACGCCTGTAATCCCAGCACTTTGGAAGGCTGAGGTAAGTGAATAACCTGAACTCAGGAATTCAAGACTAGCCTGACCAACATGGTGAAACCCCATCTCTACTAAAAACACAAAATTAGCCGGGCATAGTGGTGTATACCTATAATCCCAGCTACTTGGGAGGTTGAGGCAGAAGAATCACTTGAACCCAGGAGGCGGAATTTGCAGTAAGCCAAGATCACACCATTGCCCTCCAGCCTGGGCAACAAGAGTAAAACTCTGTCTCAAAAAAAAAGAAAAGAAAAGAAAAAAAGAAAAAGAAATTTGGCATAAAAATTACTTCATTCTATCTATCAAAAGAATTGTCATAGCAAATTAAATTAATGCATAATTGTCATTGCTAATATTCTAAAAGGCAGTTATCTGAACAGGAACATCTATAGAAATGTTCTTTAATAAGACTTTTCTCGTCTAACATTTCTTTACATTCCTTTAAAAATTGTTGGTAGAAGCTGGGCGCGGTGGCTCACGCCTGTAATCCCAGAACTTTGGGAGGCTGAGGCAGGCGGACCACGAGGTCAGGAGATCGAGACCATCCTGGCCAATGTGGTGAAACCTTGTCTCTAAAAGGCAGTTATCTGAACATGAACATCTACAGAAATCTTCTCTAATGAGACTTTTCTTGTCTAAAAAAAAAAAGAAAAGAAAAAAAAATTGTTGGCAGATGCAATTCAGAAGATCTTAAAAATCACAGTCAGTAATTGAAAATGTATTGACTTTGTAATAGAGAAGTTATTAGAATTTTTTTTTTTTTTTTAGATGGACTCTCGCTCTGTCACCCAGGCTGGAGCGCAGTGACATGATCTCAGCTCACTGCAACCTCCGCCTTCTGGGTTCAAGTGATTCTCCTGCCTCAGCCTTCCGAGTAGCTGGGACTACAGGTGCGTACCACCACACATGGTTAATTTTTTTTTGTACTTCTAGTAGAGACGGAGTTTCACCAAGTTAGCCATGATGGTCTCTACCTCCTGACCTCATGATCCGCCTGCCTCGGCCTCCCGAAGTGCTGGGATTACAGGAGTGAGCCACGGCGCCCGGCCAGAAGTTATTAGAATTTTAAGGCGAGAAAAGAGTTAAAAAGAATACTTGGCATGTACATGGAAAGCTTAAAGTCTTTTTATTTGTTTCTCCTAATTGTCTTGTGATAGTGAAGATAGCTGTATTCCTGTTACATAGGAGGTCACAATACATGATCAGACTCTACATTGTGGCTAACTTTGGTGGCACTTATAGTGGTCACTGAATCCACACTTCAAAAAAATATTATTTTTTAGAGTTTTCTAAAGGGAAAAGAAACGTATCTAAGGATCCCTCTTTGAGGAGGATGAATATTATCATTCTCCTTAAAAACCTAACAGACGTTTCTAATGGCAGTGACCATAAGTAGTCTTAAAAAGTAAAAGCCATTTTGTAAAAGAGAGATTTAAAATACCAAGCATTAAAATAATTAAAATACCTCGATGCAGATGTGATGCATTCCTCCAGCCTTGTTTTTCTGCAGAAAACCTGCAATTGGACTCTCACTTCCCAATGGATGAAGCAGTTCCATCTTGGTATTTCCCAGGTTGACAAAAACAACAGATACTCCATGTTCAAGAAGAGGGACCGCTTCACTTACCTGGGCCCCCAAAATATTCTTATAAAATGCAGCAGCCTTTTCCAAATCTGGCACTGCTATGGCTACATGATTGAGTCGACCCAGGTTCCACACAGGACCTGCCACTTGATCCAAGGGCTGTGATGTGGAAAAAGCTCTTACTGTTCGAACTGGAGCATGGAGTCTGGAAAAAAGCCCTAGAAAATTGAACAGCCATTGAGATTCTTCTTTTGAGAATTAATGCACTTCTAAATTGAATTTTAAAAACTAAACAAATAATGCATGCCAAAATTCACTACTTATGTATCTGTTCTTTTTAATTATTGAAATGAAACCAGGAGATAAATGGAAAAACTTACACCAAAATTACTCACTCTGCTCTGCCCATTCAAATAACTGACTAGAATAAAAAAGCTAATTCTGAGCTGCAGTTAGAGTTAAAACACAGAAAAATATTTTTTCATGATAATTCATATTTACTGGTAACACTTAAAGGATAGTGGCATATTAAGAATTACTTGCTATTCTCTGCATTTCACAGGGGGTAAGTTTGAATGTGACAAACAACACATATTTCGTAATGAGAACAAGCAATTTTCTCTACCTGTACTCAATTTTTTGTCCTATATTTTGTAGTAAGTTCATTAAAGGTATAAATATACAGTTCTCTTTTAATGTGTATTTACTTGAATGATTATCAACTAAGGAAAATGTCTAATTGTTGGGGAAGAACATGCAAAGATCAAGAAGATATTTAAAGTATGAGGATTTCCTCTAAGACCAGATTTTTAAAACTGTTTTATAATTTTTAAGGATTAAAGGCAGAACTGCTTCTGAATGTGAAGAAACCTCCTTTCACTCAATAACTGAAGAAGGCGGCAAGGTCTTTTCCTCATGTATTATACTGCTTTCTGATTCCCCAAAACACAGGAATTTAAGAACCAGATTTCTCCCAGAAGGAAAACTATATACATGTATGAGGTTCAAACATAATCTTGTAAAACTATATCATTTAATAAAAAGGTATGAAATAGCAAAAGAATACATATTTTAAACAAGTTGTTAGGTCTTAATCAAAAACACTTCAAACAGTATATAGTATTATAGAGCATTAGCTAACAACAAAAAATTCCCCTTAACTGAAATTTTTGATAACAAGGAAATTAAGGTGATACTATTTAAGATCATAAACTTGATGCATCATAAGTCAGTAGATGGCAAAATTCAGCCTAAGATGGTCTTCTACTATGCCCCAGTCTATAAAATATCCAAAAGATTCTCATCACCATCAGGTTAATATAGCATAGTTCTGTGGATTTTTTTTTTTTTTTTTTTTTTTGGTGAAACAGTCTTGCTGTTTCACCCAGGCTGGAGTGAAGTGGTGTGATTTGGGCTCACTGTAAACTCCGCCCCCTGGGTTCAAGCAATTCTCCTGCCTCAGCTTCCAAGTAGCTGGGATTACAAGGGCCTGGCACATATCCGGCTAATTTTGTATTTTTAGTAGAGACGGGATTTCGCCATGCTGGCCAGGCTGGTCTCAAACTCCTGACCTCAGGTGATCCACCATCATCAGCCTCCCAAAGTGACAGGATTACAGGCGTGAGCCCCTCCGCCCAACCTAACTTTTGTATTTTTAGTAGAGACAGGGTTTCACCATGTTGGTCAGGCTGGTCTTGAACTCCCTACCTCAGGTGCTCTACCCACTTCGGCCTCCCAAAGTGCTGAGATTATAGGGGTAAGCCACCATTTTGTGGTATATACACACAATGGAATATTATTCAGTCTTAAAAAGTAAATTCTGACACATGCTAAGATATGGATGAAACTTGAGGACATCATGCTAAGTGAAATAAGCCAGACACAAAAAAGAAAAATAGTGTGTAATTCCACTTTATATGAGTAGCCAGAATTCACAGAGAAGGTAAATGGTGGTTGCCAAGAGCTGGGTCAGAGGAGAACCCGGAGGTGTTGTGTAAACGTGTACAAAGTTTCAGTCTGGGTAAAATGAAAAAGCTCCGGAGAGGGACGGTGGTGACTGCTGCACAACAAAATGAGTGTCGTTTAAGCCATTGAACTATACACTTACAATGATAAAATGGCAAATTCTGGCTGGGCAGGGTAGGCCACGCCTGTAATCCCAGCACTTTGGGAAGCCAAGGCAGGAGGATCACCTGAGGCCAGGAGTTGGAGACCAGCCTGGCCAACATGGTGAAATCCCATCTCTAACAAAAATATAAAAAATTAGCAGGACGTGGTGTCGGCGGGCGCCTGTAATCCCAGCTACTTGGGAGGCTGAGGCGGAAGAATGGCTTGAGCCGGAGAGGTGGAAGTTGCAGTGAGCTAAGGTCATGCCACTGCACTCCCGCCTGGGTGACAGAGACTCGCCTCAAAAAAAAAAATAAAGGTACATTTTGCTTTACGAATAGTCAACCACACACGCACAAAAGTGGAGCCATTAAGTTTCAAGTATCTCAATAAAACAAATCAAGGTCAATCTTTGGAATATACTATCTTCATTTTTCCTTTATGCCAACAAGTGTATGTTAAGTTACAAAACAAACATGCACCTTTATCTGTATTCAGTTCTTGCAGTACGTATATGACCTGTTGGAAGTCATACTCTTCCTAAACCGTCAATCATTAAAGTGTGTAGTTCTTTTAATACAGACATAAAAGTGCCTTTTCCCAAATATTCATTTCTTTATATTTTTACATTCGGATTTTGTGTATCACCTAAGGAGAGGGTATGCCTTACAGTTAAGAATGTGGGCTCTGCTACCAAAAGGATTTACATTGAATGTCCCGGATTAACTCTGGGCATTACCACTTGGCACCTTCTTCCTAACAGGGAATCTCAGATTAAGGTAAATGCTTGCCCTCTCATAAAAGGGGGAAGAGGAAAAAAAAAAAAAAGAATAAAAAGAGAAGAGTCAGAAAACGTGACAATTATGACAGTTATTTCTGTCACAACAGGTTCTATCTACATATTTTTTAAAAATGAAGGCGGAGAGAACTCAAGGAAGTTTACAAATCCACATGCTTTTTATCTTTCTAAGTACGTGATACTAAATATATTAGTGGACATGGAAAAAAATCACTCCTTTTGGGATTTTTTTTTTTTTTTTTTTTTTTTTTTTGAGCAGAGTCTTGCCCTGTCGCCCAGGATGGAGTGCAATGGCGCAATGTCAGCTCACTGCAACCTCCGCCTCCCAGGTTCAAGCGATTCCCCTGCCTCTGCCTCCCGAATAGCTGGGATTACAGGCGCGCGCCACCACGACCGTCTAATTTTTTGTATCTTTAGTAGAGACGGAGTTTCACTATGTTGACCAGGCTGGTCTCCAACTCCTGATTTCGTGATCCGCCCGCCTCGGACTCCCAAGTGCAGTGATTACAGGCGTGAGCCACGGCGGCCGGCCTCCTTTTGTATTCTTTACACCACTGACCTTAGAGTGTTCCCAATGGAAATCTGATCATGCTAGGAGTTCCGCCGAAGTAGCTGTTTTTACAGGACTTGCTCTCCTTTCTGGTTTCTCCCCAGTTTCCTTATTGGTGCGCGGTAGAATAACTTACCGACCCGCTTCTATTTACTTCTGTCCCTGCCCTGCCTGACCAGTTGGGCAAGTTCCCTTGCCTCTCCCACCGACATGCTGGAAGGTGCCGCGCCCAGGGCAAACAGCTCCCAGATGGCAAGGGGACATTCATGCACAGTAAGGCAACCCCCGCGCTAAGCGGAGGCGTTTCTGTAAGGTACCCTCTAGGTGCAGCAGCCGCCGTAGAACGCGTCCCCGGTGGACAGAGGGCGTTAGATCAAGGGCTTTGGCCACGCCGAGGCCTCCTCTGCCCCTTGACCTCCGTTCCCACGTGCCCAGCCCCACGACGACCTTCGCCGGTGCCCAGTATTCACCTACGGATTTCGCGGCCGCCGCCTTCAGCGCGCGCGCCATCTTGGAAAGCAATCCGCTACATGCCGACCAGCCGCGGACCCAGAGAGATGAGCTGTGGAGGGCGGGGCGGGAGGCCGAGAGGGCGGGGACAGATAGGTTAGGGGCGTGGCGGAGGTCGCCGCTTTCCTGCTACAACAGGCCTACTTTAGCTAAAGCAGAAACTTAAAGCCAGAACTGGTCACCCTTTGTGGGTCTCTGAAAAATACAGAACGAAGTTTGGAAAGAGTTCAAAGGCGTCTGGGCCGACTATGGCGATTTTTGTTTCCCGCCCCACTGCAGAAGCGAAAGCGCTCGTGTCGCCTTTGGCTCCCGCTGAGGGTGAGTCCGGAACTTCCTGTGCACAGCGGAACTTTCGGCTCTGAAATCCAAGTTGCGGTAGGCGCATCTTTGCGGAGCGGTTTCCGGGCGGCTCACTTCCCTTGCATGCGGCTTTGTGTCGGGAGTTCCTGACAGCCATGGCACCGCGGGTCTGGCGTCGACAGACCCTAGAGCGCTGTCTGACAGAAGTCGGCAAAGCCACTGATCGGCCCGAGTGCTTCCTCACGTAAGTGCGCGGATCCCGGGCTCTGGGTGCGACCAGGGTCTCTCACGTGGACGCAGGTTGCCGGCCTCCGGCAAATTGTGGAGCTGGGGGGAAGGTAACGGGAAATGAAAATAACTTTTCCCCAAATTTCAGAGTTTATACTTTCCTAGGCTATCAAAATTTTAAAAATTGTTAATATTTGTACAGTATGGATCTCTCAGTTGAGTGTTACTGAAATCACCCTAACCTCACTTATTAACGCTTAGAAGCTTCCCTTGAGGCTTCTTACGCCCCCATCCGTCTACACGCAAGCTGTTGGTTCCAACTATATGCTCCTAAAGCACTCAGTGTTGAGCATACTTTATTGAATGTATTGAACTGGTCACTTGTCTCTTTGCCCCTACGACTAAGCTTCTTGATAATTAGAACTTTCATGTCTCTTCCCAGCACAAGCGTTTTACACGTATTTTGTTGAAGAATTTCATATATGATCTATAATATTATTACTCATTCATATTTCAAACCCCAACCTCTCCTTGAGTTCCCAGTTCATCTTAACTGCAGACCGAGCTTGGTTTGAATTCAGTAGCACACAACTGGGATATCCGCACTGTACAACTTTTGACGATTTTTAAAATTTTGGTATTGTCAAGCATCTCAAATTCACTGTGTCCAAAATAGAGTTGCTGTTTCTATTTAATAGAATTGTTGTTTCTACCCACCTGTACTCTGCCACCCCCTGAAGTCCTTTTCCCATGCTCCACCACGCAAGCCTTCCCTATCTCAGTAAATGGCACTTCTGGCTTTCCAGTTGCTCAGACATAAAACTAGTCTGCTACTTTGATGTCTTCATTTTTCTCTATTCTATATCTAATATCTTAGCAATACTGTCAGTTCTCCTTCCAGACTATACTCAGCATACTCACTGCTCTAACTCCAGCTTCAGTCACCATTATCCTTTGCCTGGAATGCTGCATCAACCTTCTAATCACTCTACTTTCCTCCTCCTCCCTCCTCCCCTTCTTCTTCCTTTGTGCAAATCATCATTTCATCCCTCTGCTTAAAATTTTCTAATGTTTTCTCTTTACACTTTAAAATGGCAAACTCGTACTCCTGAGCCATGCATAATTTGGCTCCCATCAGTTTCTCCAGCTTCACCTTCTGCCTCTTTCACCCTCTAGCCATACTCACCTTTTTGTTTCTCAAGCTCACCTCTAGAGGATTTGCATCTTAGAGGATTTGTTCTTGCTGTTTCTTCTTCCTGGAATACATGTTTCCCAGTCTTTATAAGACTATTTCCTTATCTATAAGTTTAATCTCAGATGTGGCATCTAAGAGAGGTTTTCCTTGACCACTGTAGCCAAAGCAAATGTTGATCATTGAGTGAATTAGTGAATGAATGAATGGAGTGGTATATAATGTAGCAGAATTGATAATTTAAGGTTAATTCACTATATATCTCCTAGCAAATAGATTTGTAATGGTTTTCCTGCCCAAAATCTATACAGCTGATAGACTGTACTTGGTTGACAGGTTTTATAGATCAGTGTAGCTCATCAGCTTATATGTTGTTGGGGCCAGAATCTATACTTACACTTCATTCTAATTTGATTTTACAAGAGTTGGGTTTTTTATCATTATTAAGAGTGCTGTGAAATTATTACCTATAATTCTAAATCTCACTTAATTCCTCCCAATAGGATTCAAGATGGATTGGCATCAAAGTTTACTTCTTTAACAAAAGTGCTTTATGACTTTAATAAAATATTAGAGAATGGTAGGATCCGTGGAAGCCCTTTACAAAAACTTGTGATAGAAAATTTTGATGATGAGCAGATTTGGCAACAACTGGAATTGCAAAATGAACCAATTTTACAATACTTCCAGAATGCAGTTAGTGAAACAATTAATGATGAAGACATCAGTCTTCTCCCAGAGAGTGAAGAACAGGAATGTGAAGAGGATGGTTCAGAGATAGAGGCTGATGACCAGGAGGACCTAGAAGACTTAGAGGAGGAGGAAGTGTCAGACATGGATGATGATGATCCTGAAGTGGGTGAGAGAGCTAAAAACTCAAGCAAATTTGATCTGAGGAAAAGCCCAGTTTTCAGTGATGAGGATTCTGACCTTGACTTTGATATCAGCAAATTGGAACAGCAGAGCAAGGTGCAAAACAAAGGGCATGGAAAACCAAGAGAAAAGTCCATAGTAGACGACAAATTCTTCAAACTCTCTGAAATGGAGGCCTATTTAGAAAACATAGAAAAAGAAGAGGAGGAACGAAAAGATGATAATGATGATGAGGAGGAAGATATTGATTTTTTTGAAGATATTGATTCTGATGAAGATGAAAGCATACTGTTTGGAAGTAAAAAACTTAAGGTAAAATTTTGAGAAAGGAGAGAGCACTTACCTCCTAAAATTAGCTTCTGTTCTATTCTAGGGGAGATTTAATTGTAGTTAGAAGATTTAGAGATAAGAAATATTGTGCTCTATCTTATCAGTTGTAAATGATTCTGTACTTTCATTCACTTTATGTTCCAGTTCTTACAGTTTTGTGGTAGTGTTATTGCCAGTTTCACCTAATAACTTTTTAAATTATTAGTTGTTAGTTTATAGTGTTATTCAGACAGAAAGTAATGTATATATACAAACATATATGCATGTAATTTTTTGTTTTTTGAGACAGAGTCTCACTCTGTCACCTAAGCTGGAGTACAGTGGCGCAATCTCAGCTCACTGCAACCTCTACCTCCTGGGTTCAAGTGATTCTCCTGCCTCAGCCTCCCGAGTAGCTGGGATTACAGGCGCCCACCACTACACCCAGCTATTTTTTTATTTTTTATTTTTAGTAGAGACCGGATTTCACCATGTTGACCAGGCTGGTCTCAAACTCCTGACCTTGTGATTCACCTGCCTCAGCTTCCCAAAGTGCTGGGATCACAGGCATGAGCCACTGCACCTACCACATGTGTGAATGTATTTTTCTATCCCTAATTAATAGTTTAAAAAAATCTTTTCATTTTAGTCAGGTAAAAGTTCCAGAAATCTGAAATACAAAGACTTTTTTGATCCAGTTGAAAGTGATGAAGACGTAACAAGTGTTCATGATGATGAGCTAGATTCAGAGAAAGAAGATGATGAAATTGCTGAAGAAGCAGCAGAACTAAGTATTTCGGAAACGTGAGTATTTTGAACCATCCTTTACATTGTGAGCTGGAATTGCCCAATCTTGTATGTGTGCGCTTGTAGTTGTCAGATGTGTTTGTCTTAAGAAGTTAGATTCAGTAATACCAGTTATTCTCAAGATAGCCAGAGGAAAGTCACTACATGTAAAGGGACATTAGAGATCACTTAATGAAGAAAAATATCACTGGTAGTAGCAATCAAACCTTTCTTACCAGGAACTTGGATTTGATTTTGTGCCAATAAAAGCCTGTTATTTTTGTGAGATAAGAGATTTGTATATAGATTGATGAATAATTTATTTTCTATATCCTGGCTGCTTTTGTTCTGTTTCTTACATAGCATTTTACCTAAATAATATCTTTTGTTCCTTAATAACCGAATGATTTCGGAAGTTCTGAATATTTGGTTCCATTAGGCATGTAAAAGAAGACCTTTATTAAGGGAAAATTTGTTTCCTTCTGTTTTTCTTTTTTTATTTTTATCTTTTTTTTTTCCTTCTGTTTTTCTAATGGAAAGTAGTATAATTCTTTTAATGAGAGTTTTGGTATTGTAGGGATGAAGATGATGACCTTGAAGAAAGTGAAGACAGTAAACAACATAAAGAAAGCTTGAAAAGAGTGACCTTTGCTTTGCCAGATGATGAGAAAACTGAAGATACAGGTGTTTTAAATGGAAAGAAAAATTCTGATGAAGTTAAATCCTCTTTTGAAAAAAGACAGGAAAAGGTAATTAGGAATTTAAGGAATTTTTAATATGTTTAACACTGACATATCTTCCCTATTTTTCTTGTTCTGTTAACTATCCTTTGAAAACAAATATCTTGGCCAGGTGCAGTGGCTCATGCCCGTAATCCTAACACTTTGGTAGTCCGAAGCAGGAGGATCACTTGACCTTAGGAGTTCAGAACCAGCCTGGACAACATTTGTCTCTACCAAATATACAAAAATTAGCTGGGAATGGTGGTATGTGCCTGTAGTCCAGCTTCTCCGGTGGCTGAGGTGGGAGGATCACTTGAGTCTAGGAGGTTCATGCTACAGTGAGCTATGATTGCATCACTGCTTTCCAGCCTGGGCAGCAGAGCAAAACTTTGTCTTCAAACAGACAAACAAAAATCTTGCCGCAACTCTCTAAAGTGCACTGTATAGAGATGCCATAAGGAAAGCATCTGATCTGCAAAAGTCAGTGCCTGCTTGACTGCTCTGGAGGACATCGTGTATGTCTTTTTTTATTTGAGATGGAGTTTCGCTCTCATCACCCAGGCTGGAGTGCAGTGGTGCCATCTCAGCTCACTGTAACCTCCACCTCCCAGGTTCAAGCAGTTCTGCCTCAGCCTCCCAAATAGCTGGGATTACAGGTACCTGCTACCATGCCCAGCTAATTTTTTTGTATTTTTATTAGAGACAGGGTTTCACCATGTTGGCCAGGCAGGTCTCAAACTCCTGACCTCAGGTTATCCGCCCACCTTGGCCTCCCAAAGTGGTGGAATTATAGGTGTGAGCCACTGCGCCTGGCCAACACCACCTCTGTCTTTGAGGAGCTCTGCAGATTTTTTGAGTGCCAGGTAGCTGGAATTTTAATGAATGCCATCACAAACATATCTTCCAAAGTTGGTAAAAATTGTTTATGTCATGATTTCAGACAAGTGAAATTTCATTTAATTTTTGTAGATATAGTCTGGCTCTAATAATTTGGCTCCATCATTTATTTACCTTAAAATTTTTATCGCAAAATGAGAATAGGGCCAGGCACAGAGGCTCACACCTGCACTTCGGGAGGCTGAGGAGCAAGGACTGTTTGAGCCCAGGAGTTTGAGATCAACCTGGGCAACAGGCTGAAAGCCCATCTCCACTAAAAATTTTAAAAGTTAGCTGGGCATGGTAGTGTGCGCCTATAGTCTTTGCTACTTGAGAGGCTAATGGGGGAGGATCTCTTGAGTCTAGGAGTTCAAGGCTGCAGTGAGCTATGATTGCACCACAGCACTCCAGCCTGGGCAACAGAGCTAAAGACTGCCTCAAAAAAAAGAGAGAATAGGCAGATAATAAAAGATATCAAGACTGTTAAAAGAATTGTTTTTAAAATCTGAGAATCTGAATTATATCCGTGATTGTCAGATTGTCCCCAGAAGATAGAGAAATTCCAAAGGAAAAAAAAGCACCATTATATACTATATCGAGTTAGTGTCCTTCCACCCCACTCTTCCCACTGTCCTCCCACAAAAAAGAAAGAAAGGTTTGGTTTTACTATGAAATTAAATCAGACCTTCAAGTTAAGTTTTAATAAATCAATTTATTTCAGTTTCCACATATAAAGAATAAAGTAGAACTTTGAAGCTTTTTTTTTTTTTGAAACTGTTAGAACGTCAAAACCCAAACCTGACAAAGGTAGCATTAAAACAAACATACACACACAGTCTCATTCATGAATAGTGATGCAAAAATCCTATAGCACAGTGGAAAAATTATGCCACACGACTGCATGAACCTTATTCACTTGAATCAGTATTAGAAAATCTAGTATGATTCCTGATTATGACGTTAAGGAGAAAAAACATATGGTCACCTCCATATATGTCAGAAATTCAATATTTATTTCTAATTTTTTTTTCACCCTAGTGGAATAGAAATACATCTAGCCAAAAGCTGACATCGTGCATGATGGGTGAAATTCTAGAAACATTCCTTTAAGATCAGGAATAGGGCTGGGCGCAGTAGTTCATGCCTTTAATCTCAGCACTTTGGCAGGCAGATCATGAGGTCAGGAGATTGAGACCATCCTGGCTAACGTGGTGAAACTCCATCTCTACTAAAAATATAAAAAAATTAGCTGGGCATGGTGGCACATACATGTAGTCCCAGCTACTCAGGAGGCTGAGGCAGGAGAATCGCTTGAACCCAGGATGCCGAGGTTGCAGTGAGCCGAGATCGCACCACTGCACTCCAGCCGGGGCGACAGAGCAAGACTCCATCGCAAAAAAATAAAAAAAGATCAGGAGTAAGACAAAATGTCTTAACATTCTTTTAGAAGCATAAGCCAGTGCAACTACAAAAGATAAGAGATTAGGAAAACTGCCGGGTGCCGTGGCTCATGCCTGTGATTTTAGCACTTCGGCAGACCCAGGCAGGAGGATTGCTTAAGATCAGGAGTTCGAGACCAGCCTGGGCAACATGCTAAAGACTCTACAAAAAATATAAAAATGGGCTGGGCATGGTGGCTCATGCCTGTAATCCAAGCACTTTGGAGGCCAAGGTGGTGGATAACCTGAGGTCGGGAGTTCAAGACCAGCCTGACCAACATGGTGAAACCCCATCTTTTAAAAAAAAAAAAAAAAAAAACAGAAATTAGCCAGGTATGGTTGCACATGTCTGTAGTCCCAGCTACTTGAGAATCTGAGATCTGAGGTGAGAGGATTGCTTGAGCCTGGGAGGTAGAGATTGCAGTGAGCTGAGATCATGCAACTGCTCTTCAGCCTAGGCAACAGAGCGAGACTGTTTCAAGGAAAAAAAAAAAAAAATACCGTAGATGTATTTATATTTCACTAGGAGTGAAAAATGAACTCGTTAGTATTTGGAGAGGAAACCCAAAGGGGAAAACTGAATTGATATTAGGAAAATAAGAGAATTTTGTAAGGTAGCTGAAAAGGCTGGCATTTTTATACACTGAAGTCATAATTGTTGTCTTTTAGAAGTTAAGAGATAATGACCGGGTGCGGTGGCTCATGCCTATAATCCCAACACTCTGGGAAGCCAAGATGGGCGGGTTACCTGAGGTCAGGAGTTCGAGACCAGCTTGGTAAACATGATGAAACCCCATCTCTACTAAAAAGTACAAAAATTAGCCAGGCGTGGTGGCACATGCCTATAATCCCAGCTACTTGGAAGGCTGAGGCAGGAGAATTGCTCGGGAGATGGAACCAAGATTACACTACTGCACTCCAGCCTGGGTGACAGAGTGAGACTCTGCCTCAAAAAAAAAACAAAAAAAGAAGTTAGAGACAGTAAGAATTTTGAGTTTGGAATCAGAAGGGTCAGACTCTATCAGATACTAATATTTTAATCAAAAAATTACTTAACTTTAGGATGCTGTAATAATCAAAATTGGTAGTGGCTTGTGAATAGATAGATCACTTGAATAGAGCCCAGAAATAAACCCAAATCCTTCTGGGGGAGTTTAGTATATTATAAACATGGCATTTTAAATCAGTGAAGGAAAAAATTATTTGCGGCTCACCCCACCATAGGCAGCAGGAATAGGAAGTCATTGACAGAATCAAAAGATGGCAGGAACAGAACAGAATTGTAGAATAGTACATTTCTTGCTTTCTTACTTTGTTTTTGTTTTTGCTTTCCTACTTTTAAAAGTAGTTTTTGCTTTTATACAAATATAAGTGTAATTTTTTTTTTTTTTCTAAATGTATACTAATTATTTTGTCTCTTTCTTAGATGAATGAAAAAATTGCATCTTTAGAAAAAGAGTTGTTAGAAAAAAAGCCTTGGCAGCTCCAGGGGGAAGTGACAGCACAGAAGAGGCCAGAGAACAGCCTCCTGGAGGAGACCCTGCACTTTGACCATGCTGTCCGGATGGGTACAGTGCTCTCTTCTGTAAAATGTTCACTTCTGTGCTTTTTCTATGGTTCTGTTTCATACAAAGATTTGGAGTGATGTTTCTCCACCCTCAACTTTTTATTTTAAAAACTTGTAAACACATGACTGGGCACAGTGGCTCACACCTGTAGTCTTTGGAAGGTTGAGCACTTTGGGAAGCCGAGGCAGATGGATCACCTGAGGTCAGAAGTTTAAGACCAGCCTGGCC